GTAATTATTTTTTTTTTTTTTTTTACAATTCGCAAATGTACAATGTTTTAAACAAATATAAGATATACTATAAAGATACATACGCATAACGATGTTATACAGTTTTTTGATATAATAACTATAATCACAAAAATATATTGATAAATGTTTTAAAAACGAAAAAATGATTTTATTTTTATGTTAAATTTCTATAATTACTATATGTAATCAATTATTAGATATATATAAAAAAATAAATATAAATTTTCGAACAATAATATATACTATTTATGAGAATTTATTTTGATTTATTTAATTGATTATTATTAAATTGATTTATATTATTGTAAACATATTAAAAGCAATTTTTTAATAACAAAATATATAATTTCATATTTACGCAATTATAGTTCGTTTCTTGTCATAGTATACATATACATTATATTTTGATATCAAATTTGATATCAAAAATTATTATTTAATTAATGTTATTAATAAATTATTCATTTAAAAAAAATAATTATAAATATGTTTATTTTAATATTTAAAAGATATAAATGATAATTGCAATCTCTCTATTTACATTTATTTATTTTTTATTATTTACTAATATGCATTTTATTGTATTAAGTAAAATAAATTTGAATTTATTTAAAAAGGGAAAGATATTAACAACTTAAAAGATATTTTTTATAATAAAAAACTTGTACTCTACAGGTATTTTTAAATAATACTAACAAAATAATTTTTAATAATATTATGAGTTTTTTGAATATATAAAATTGACAAGATAATAATGAAACCTATTTTTTTAACTTATTAAACTAAATTGTCTAACTAAATTTATTTTTAGCATAAATATTAGCACCATGAAATTATAAAGATACATAGAATATCTTTCAGTAAAATTCAGCTATAGATATTTATCTTTCACAAATTTGTATAAGAAAATAAGTTAAATTAAATTATTATTTTATTTTTAAGACACTATTCTTAGGCATTATAAAAGCTAAGTTATAATATGGCACAAATGCATAATCCTATGCATATCATCCCTAACATATAAGCTAAATCTCTTTTGATACTTGGATCTCGTTTAGTAGAACCAGGAAGATTATATATATTTTTCCATTTTACTGCCCATAATGGAATAGCAACATGGAGAATATCTGGGATCATAAATCCAAGATCACGTACAACCTATCATATAAAAATTACTAATCATTTAAAACTAATTAATACTAAGTCTGTAATCTATTATATTCTCATATTACCTGATGGGCATATCCTTCTCCTCTGACAACATTAGCAACAAATTGATCCCAACCACCCGCTACAATATGTAAAATAGCTATTGCAGCTATACCAAATGCTTTTCTATGAGTTACTGGATTTTTATTATTTGCCAAGTGAACAACCAAAAAAGTAGACATCAACTCAGTGACAGAAAAAAACAATTGATGGTACCATTGAGAATAGAACTCATCATTCCAATAATTCATATAAACCCACCAAGTATAATAATGTGAAAAAATAGCAGTTGAAAAAAGAACCATCATAGAAAGTCTAAGACGATTATGAAAAGCCAGCCATGTTAAATGTTTCACTACTTCATAGAAAATGATAACTCCAATTACAATTGTGATCCATATTTTTAAAGTATTTGATGTAGCATTAAAATACATATGTTTATAAGAAGCAATGCCAGATTCATATGATCCTGTAATAATATATTAATTCTTTTTGAAAATCAATTAAAAATAGTTTAGAACTAGTTTTTTTAAAATACATCATGAAAATAAGATTTACTTACCCTTAAATACTGTGTCCCAACATGAACAAGAACAATATTGTTTATCTACATCTCTTGAATATTCTTGCCAAAAATAATACAAAAATGCAATATGTAATGGTGGTATTGTTAATGGTGCTAATATTCCTAATGTTTTAGAACTGCATGATGCAAAATTTGCATAAAGCATGCGTTTTAATATCTTTGTGAAACCCATATGTGTAAATTTTTATTTATATTGAAACTCAATTATATAAAAAAATATTTATTTATAATTGCCATTATTTTATTATTATTTAAATAATTTTTTTTTATGATTATAATTATATTATATTATGATATATTTTTTTATGATATTAAATGAATAAATTAGATAAGATTTACATTATTTAATTCAACTTTTTAAAAATTATTATAACATGAAATAACATAAAAAATTGGCAATAATTCTTTGGTATATGTAGAAGTAAAAGAATTATATTATATCTGGCACTGTTTATTTTAATATATTTCATTAATAGAATTCTATTCTAAAATTATAAATTTCTTAATCTTTTACATAATGAAGTATATATAAATACTTTCCTTTATCCAATTATAGGATGATTCTATAAATTGTATACATTATTTATAGATCATATGCTGCAATATTAATTTCATTCATTTATATTTATTAATTTTTCTTATAAAAGCAGCAATTAAACAAGATTAACAGTAATTAGATTAATTATAAATATAATAATATATTCATAATACTGTTAATTTTAATGAAGATTTTTTTTTCGTTTAATAATGAAATAATTTTATAAATTGGCATAGCTTTCAGTCGATATATTTGATGTCATAATCAGTCTTGTTGGTATTAATGTAAACCACATAATATTCGAATTTTTATCACTTGTTTATAATATTATATTTTAAAGTAAAACATATCATATAAATTAATTTTTGATTAGATATTTGTAGCACTTCGAACGTCGCATTTTATATTTCATAAGATTTTACCTTTATATTCACATGACACTACGTAAAAAATATCGAAATTGGCACAAATGTATTTAATGACAATTATAAAATAATGTTTCCATTCTTACTTTCTATCGGTCTTATTAGACGGGAGGGCTTTGCCCCTCCAATACTATTTTCCACGCATGTGCAAATTCTGTTCCTATAGAAACATATACTTGAAGACTTAAATAATTCCAATTTATTAGAGGTTATTAGCTTCATTGAATTATTAATTAATTATAATATAAATTTCAGAAATTCTTAAAATTTAAATACAAATTCTGAATCTGAATACTAATTCTAAAAAGAAAAAAGACCTGAAACAAGAACATCTCAGACATAATAAGATTGTTTCTATTTTTTATTTTTTTCTAAAAGCATATTAATTTTTTTTTTAAATAAAAAACAATTTGAAATTGCTATCAAACTTTTTCTTGCTATCACTTTTTTTCTTTTACAGAATTAAAGTTTTATAGTAAACAATATTTTTTTTAAATACTTAAAAATTAATATGTTAAATTCTATTTTTTTTAAATAAATATATGTAAATATAATATATGTCAAATACTTCATCGTAATTATTTGAAATATGTTATTACAAGTCAATTTTTAATTATTTTTATTATATCTAATAAATAAACGAATGAATAATAATAAATGAAGTTATTTAACAATGCAACTAATTAAATATTAAAGCTGTTTCTTGAGCGCGTAAATTTTATACAACAAATAGCATTAAAACTCAAGAAGAAGAAAAAAGATAGAGTAAAAATATAAAAGCGCTATCTCCTAAGTATCGCAAATAGAACCCAATAGCAAATAATTGAAAAAGGATAGAAATGAATAAGAATTGATTATTAACGCCATCTCTTGAGCATCATACATCTATCAAAAATAAGATAAAGAATTGAGGATTAGCGCCATATTCTTGAATACTTTTAACATTCAAGAGATGTCACTAACGATCAATTTTTACCTTATCTCTATTCTTTTATATTTTTTATATTTTTTATATTAAATTTAACATCTCATAATAAATGTATTATACAATATTTTAATTTTCGTGTTATTTATATAAATAAAGAATTGCATCACTGCAAACAATTAATAGCATTCTATGTGTGAATCTATATGTGTAAGATTCTTTTGAAATTACGAAAATCATAAATTAATGCATCATCTATTCGGATTATGTGGTTAAGTAATTTTATTTCTATTTCTATTTAATTTATAGATTAGTTTCATTTATTTAATAAATCATAACAACATCGTGATAACTTTTAATTAAATTTCTTTATGTTTCTATCTTCTATTTGATTGTTGAGGTTACCGATAGCTTGTATCATATTAGCTTTTCAATCAGGATTTCAATTATTGCTTTATTTAATATATAATAAATAAGTATAATTTTATATATTTATTTACATATATTTATTTATATTTTATATATTTTTGACTTTTTATTTTGACTAATTATCTAAATTATTATTTGATTGCTGGAATGACTTCGAAATAATAATGATTTATATATGCCACGATTTTTATAATCAATGATTTTCTGTATTTTAAATATAGATAATATTTTTTTTTCACAAAAATAGATATATTTAAAATAGATTTCTATTGTCTTTTTATTCATACATAAATATATGATATGAAATTATATATAAACATATATAGTTTCTCGTAATTAAGTTTATTTCATCAAATTACATTATTTCAATGATATGATATATGATATTTCGTTTTTAAATGCGTTAATTTATATTTTTATCTTTTTTTCGTCTGTTATTTCAAGGCTGAAAATATTTCTTATCAATGTTTTCAAGAAATTGGAAGTTTGCAGCATGTCATATTTGATATGTTTCGATTTGATGTTCTTACTAATTTATTATTCGATAATCGAAATTATGGCGGGAGATGTCATTGTATCGATAATCATAAGTTTATGATCACGACAGTTCAGATCGTCATTTTTTCTTGAGGTATGTGCTGTATAATAATGTATATAATAATTAAATTATAATTTATAATTTATTGTTTGTAACTATTGTTTGTATGCTAACATTCAATCAACATGTGTTTCTTATTATAATTAAAAATCCTTTTTGACTAAATTATTCTATTATTTAATATTATTATTTTTAGAATTTTTATCTATTTTTAGTATTAATTCATTATAATATTAATTTATTTATAAGACGGAATTGTGCTTCATTATTATTTTATATTATAATCCATTAATTCTATATTTCATATATTTATTTGAAAATTTTGATTTTTTTTTATTCAGATTATTAATTGATTGTTGGAATGATGGAAAGATTTCAATATGAACGCCATAACGATTAATAACTTCAAGAAATGGTAAAATTTGACACTTTTTTTATTTCAAAATTTTTTATAATGTATTTTTAAAAAAGGAAAAAAATAATTAAATTTAATTTTTTGTTAAAGATGACAATTTTTATAAAAACTTTTTTTTACTTTTGAAAAATATTTATGATTGCATGCAATATGATCGATAAAATCAGTGTCCATTTCATAATAATATTTTTATATTTTTTCTAAATTAAACTTTTAATTAAATTTAACTATAATAATCTTTCATGATATTAAAGTTAGTTATAATAGAGTATTTCTTCACTGATATAAACAGATATATAATAGTCTTTTTTTTTTTTGTCAATATTGATTTTTTTAGTGGGAATGTTTACAATTATGCTTCTTAAAAAAATAAGATGATCATTCATTACGCGAAGAAATAATTATTTTTATATATTTTCTATTTATTTTAATTTTTTCAAATAATTAGTATTGTATTTAAAATATAGTGTTTTAAGTTTTGTTACAGTTTCTCATACTTGATGACTATTTCGCAATGATATCCTAATATTGATGACAGCATTAACATCGCATTTATTGGTAAGTCATACATTTATATTTTTTTTGGTTACTTAATCATCATAGAAAAATCTAAATCGATACGTAATTTAAAATTTTGTATAAATATAATGATCATGGGTATTTATTCTAATATTCATAAGAAATAAATTTTTTTCTTCTATGTTTTATTAATTTTTTTTGCATATCGCGTTTTGAATTATTAAACAATATTATAATGTTTATATATAATAATAAATATTTTATGTAATTGTTGTGATCATAAACATATTATGAAAGTAATATTAAGATTCAATTCGTTTCGTAAAAGATCTATTTAATATCATATTTAAAAAGACATAGATAAATATTTTAGAATCAGAACAATAAGTTTTAATATTGTTTTCATGGTTTCGAAAATGTTTAAGAAATCACTTAAGAATTATTGAGGATTTTCCATTAATATTGATTGCTTTGATTATATTCATTTATTATAATTTCTTGTTTTTTAATTTTTCATTATGAAAATTTTAATAATTCATTAAATTTATAATTATTAAAATTTGAGATAAAATTATAATATATGAAATTAAAGAAGTAGTTATTATTATATTAATTATTATATTATTATATTAATTCGTTATTATTATTATAAATTAATTCGTTATAAAATATATTTAATATTTTTTTAGCTTGGGATTTTCAGGTTTGTATAATCTTATATAATCTTCCTATTAAAATCTCACTTATGTGTCCAAATACATATTTTACTTGAATAAAAGAGAGGCGATAAGCATATAATTATAATTGATAAGTTTACAATAATTTCTCAGCGATTGATGATGATGTGTATCGTATATAAAAAAAATATTTTTCCACATTTTATGTATATAGTTAGCTTATGGAATTTCATTTTGATTATAAATCCAATTCATAATTATTAATTCAATTATAATTTACAAATATTAGATTCTTATTATTATTATTCTTTTTAAATTAATCTATTAAATTATTTAGTATCAAATTTTATATCATTTATCTTATATATAATTTCATTTTTTAAAAATATCGTGATAACGAATTCTTGTTATCACGAATGTTGATAATTTTAAAGTTTAAATAATTTAAGACACAAACTTTTAGCATGATTCGTACAATGATCACTAATCATCGTCAATCGATTTCAGGAAAACGTAAACTTAGAGTGTGCAAGTAGTATGTCAAACTTTCGGTCGGAGATGATCCAGCAGGTCATTCTCCCCAGTGTAGGTTTTTGCACCCAGGTATAACGTGAGAACCATGGAGTAAATGTGTTAGTGTGTTTTTTTTGTCAGTTTTTAAACGTAAAATTAGGTAGGACAGGCAGCATACTTTCTGATATGTATGTGTGTGTTAATCATAAACAGATAGAAGCAGGTTGGCACTGCAGATAGGCGCATTTTTGCGTGACAAGCTGTTTTTTCTGGAAATAAAATTCGAAGAATCGAGAGTGAAATTCAGATGAAATTCAGACTGTTATCTGTCAAATTAGTTCCTAATTTATTTGAATTTTTGTTAAATTCATTTTAAAAGTTTAGATTATTTTAAGAGAAAGAAAGGAACATGAAAGAAAAATGATTTTGTTTTTATTATTAATAAATAAATAAATATTTGATGCATAAATGCGAATTACTAAATAAAATGTAACCTAATTAATAATTTATAGGATTTATTTTTTATTTATAAATATTATTGTTCTATGAATTTTCAAATGTTGCCAGGTATGGTCTTTCGGAAGTAGGACATAAAAATTTCTCGAATGGTGGAAGCCATTCATTGCTTGTTTTGTTACCAATTGGTTGTAACAGATTGTTCCATAGAGTATTTGCCGCTTAAAACAAAAAGAAAAGTTGTTTTTTATAAATCTTAAGTAGTTATATTTTTGTAAAATATTATTTTTTAAAATATTTTATTCCGTAAAATAATAATTAAGCATTAGTTTTCAATAAATTTAATACATAATTTTTGACATTTTTATTAAATAAATTTCTGATTGCTTCCGAAGTTTTGAATTAAATTTGAAATAGTATACGAAATTCTATGTCATATACTTACATCGTGCATTACCTATTTGACTTATATGAAAGCAATCGGCAGAAAAATATCGGTCAACTTCGGCTAATCCCTTATTATTCCGAGGCACTTTAACATTTTTAATACCTGGTAAAGATATTACGGTAAAGTCATTTGTGTGAAATTCCGGGTATTTAGAAATTTCTTCATCTATTTCTTGCCATCTAAAAAATAATCTAAAATAAAATATCGTACCAAATATTTTTCATAAACTGTTTAACTAAGAAATAATATCATGTGAAAACTAAAATAATATAAATAAAAGAAATTAAAAATAATTATTTTAAGATTATTAAAATTGGAGGAATGTTATATGCATAATTATTTAAATAATTTTTTTAAGTATTTAATGTTTAAATTTTTAAATTCGCTAAATTAAACAAACCTGTTCATTATTTTGAAATATTCCTCTCTTTGATTTTTGTATCGCAAAGAGAACAAACATGAACAAAATAAGGTTCTCATCACATAGCAAATAAGTGAGTTTGTTGCATTGCGTGTATCAACAATTTCCTTTAAGTGAGTAGGAATTATGAGACTAATAAAAGTACGTGGTAAATTGTCTCTTAATATTCGAAGAGTTTTAAGTAGATCTTTTTTATGATTTTCCAAAGTGGACCATGGAGAAGGAAGTACACATAAATCCGTACAAATGTCATTGAATCCAATGAGAATAAAAATCATCTGAAATAAATAGTAACATGATATAATGCAAATATTAATTTTAAATTTATTTTAATTTTAAATATTTATTTCATTAATTTCTGATACTTATATAATTTTCATTAAACTTTAATAATCGACTCGTATATTTCTATAATTTTTATAAAATCTCATATAATTTTATTTATAATACATACCTTCCAATGTTTCTCTATATCTATTCTTTTGTCATTTTTTATTCTATTGACTAAAAATTTCGCCATAAAAGGCATGTCTCTGGACATTGCACCAATCTCAGCTACATCTAATTGCGAAGCTGGATTAGCAGTTAAAGAATCTCCAAGTGAATAGCCTATTAAGTTAGGGTTAAATTCCTGTACATGAGAACATTTATTTTATCAGAAAAATATTCTATTTTTCGTTTAATATATTTAATTATTAAATTATAATTATTTGTAATGAATGTACTTTGAGAATATTGGGGATTGTCAAATATTTTCGCCAATTTTTTTCACCGCCTATAATTGCCATCGCACCCCTATTCTCAATGTATAGATCTAGTAAATTGGTTGCAAAAATTCCCATTCCGCTCGTCAAAGAATCGCCCAACGCAGCAATAATATCTATGTCTCCTGGTCTTAAACGATGAATTGAATCAGGAATAGTAGGAGATCTAGCACCTACAAATATTAGATTTTAGAAAATTAAATTGTTATAACCAATAAATGACATTCGAGAGCACGATTTTTTGAATTTTTACGATTTTATGATAATAATAATTTGTTTAATTACCTGTCAAATTGCAAGGAAATGGAACGTTTGGTGGAACTTCTTTTTGAATTTTATTTGTATTTTGTAATGCAGCTCTTTCTTCTTTACCTTTTATGTAAACAAATTATTGATCATTTTTACTTGTACAGTTTACTTTGATTATTTCCACAAATAAATAAAAATTATCATTAATTATTTAAAAAACAGAATAAATAAGAATAGAATAGTATGTAATATAAACAGGAATAGGTTTTAATCAATTTTTGAAATCTTCAATATAATATTTAAAAAATTTTAATTTAGTTTAAATATAGTATAATTTAGTTTTAATTTGGAAATATTGCATTAAATTATTTTTTTAATTCTTTTTTTATTTTTAAATAATGCTTCATAAATATTTACTTTATTTCACAAATTATTAAATCACTGTGATTCATTAGAATTACACGTTACTATGCTAAATAATAAGATTAATATTTTTTTTAATATGTAATATGTAATATACCAAATATTTGGATCCAATTACGAAACAGACGAACCATTGATCGTATATCTGGGCTGTCCAAAATAGTCCTTTGAGCCACAGTCAACACGAATAATTGTAACAAAAAACACAAAAATAACTTCATTTTTTTATTAATTTGATAATTGAAGATCGTATCGTTTGTCTAATAATAACTTTGTATATTGAATAGATCCAAAAGAAGTTCTTTTCCTCCCTTTAAAAACTTGCTTCCATCCGAACAGGAATTACAAAACGAAAATAAAAACAACCACTTTAAAAACAACTACTCGAGTAGACCAACTCGATCAGGAGTAGACAGGATTTTACAATATCATGCTACGAAGGTTCTTAGTTTGAAACTGAACACATGAGTCTGTGATTCTTTATATCTATACAACGACTTTATATATATATATATATATATAGTCGTTGTACATATATATATATGTATATATGTATATGTATATTATATTGCTTAGAACGAACCAACATAATACGAACAAAATATTTAAATTACTTTCATATTATACTTGTTTATTATAATTGTAAAAATTTGTAATTATAATTCATCATTTTATGCAAGTTTAGGAAATAATATTTTGTGTGTATATATTATAGGTATATAGAAATTGTACTTGTGATTAATCGAGAAATAATTCATTATTATGCTGAATCAATAATTAAGATTAAATTAAAGTTTTTCTAAGACAAATCATTGATATTGCTTGATAACAGATAACATCTATTAATGAATTATGAAGAATTACATAAAATTCAATTGCTTATAAATTAAAGAATAAATCTTAATTCATAATTTATGGATTAATTTATATTTTTATTTTCAACAGTCAAAATCAATCTTTTGAAAAGTTTTTTACGTGTATATTTTACAATTGTTTTCAAAATTAGATAGAATTAGAATTAGATATTAATATTTAATTAAATATTTGTGAATGAGAAAATTATTCATTGAATAATTTTAAAGTTAATTCTCTAGATCATTGTTAAATATTTTAT